TACCCAATTTACCTTGAACTTCTACAACTTTAGACTCATAATATTCATAGTCGTCTGTCTTCTTTGGTTCATAAGGTATAACAAGTTTGTATGCTTTGCCTTCTTTAAGGTTTGAGAACCTTCTGTCAAAACTTTCTTTGACTGTTAACAAACCTTCTATGTCTAAGTCTTCAAATTTCGCACCATTTTTAGTCACAATAGCAAACTTAACTGGTTCGATGTTCCAAACTTTGCTGAATGAAGACTTTTCAAAATGGTAGAAGTAAACATTCAAATATGTGAATGGGTCTAGTTCTTCTTTAAGTCCTGACATGTACTTGTTTACTGAAATATATTTCGTCATCTTTTTCTATCGGATAAAAAAATATTTTTTTTAAAATTTACTCAGAAAAAATTTTCTTTGTATATACACCATTCTGAACATCTAAAAGACTTTTGACATTTGCCAAGAATGTACGTTTAGAAGCTGCCATATAACCATACTCTTGACAATATTGTTTATATTCATCATATAAAGACTTTTCATCTAAACACTCAAAGTCGCTTTCTTCTATGAACAGTTCATATACACTCTTGTTTGCTTCTAACAATGTTTGTCTCTCTTCGGTATGTGGAATTTGTCTTGGATTGAACTTAGAAATATCTAATGTCATGAAATATGAGAACAAGTGGTTGTAAAAGTCAGATGTCAAAGTTTCTGCTAAGTCGTCAAAATATTCTGTATCTTGCATATGAGAATCTGACGTTCTGACAACTACATATCTTCTGTCAGAACTTTCTAACTTCATCGGAACAGCATTGTTTGAAACCATAATGAAGTTTGCAACATTTTCACAAACTCTTTGGTCTTTATACTTTCTTTCAACAACTCCAACTTTGTCTGTTATAAGACTCTTCAAAGCATCTGAGTTCAAAACTTTTGTTGTATCTATACTTTGAAGTTCATTGCAAACTATAAGTTTCATATTCTCTATTGAGGAGTTAAACTTGCCACAGATGTTTTCTAATTTTGTCATATTAGGGTTCGAATAACCTTCTAACAGTTTGCATAAGATATCTGTAAAGAATGTGTTCTTACCTGTTCCTTGTTTTCCAATTATAATGAGAGCAGTTTCATTTTTAGCACTTGGATGTTGTAAGATGTTTGCAAACCAACATAAGATATACTCATAAACCTTTTCGTTTCCATTGCATATAATTTCTTTGACATGGTCTAACCAAGCTTCTATAATATTTTCTTTCCATTCTACTTGTTCATATTTACATCCAGTGAAGATAGAATAGAAGTTTGGAGAAGGTGTATAAAACTTTATACCACGAACTGAAAAATCTTCAAGTTTTGACAATAAGATATCCCAAGCATCTAACATCTTCATGCCAACTTGTACGACTTTTATTTTCTTAAGTTTCTGTCTACATTCTTGTTCTGAAACTATTGTTGCTCTTGGTTTGTTAAAGACAATATCCCATTCTTTCATGACATAACATTCTGGGGCAGAGTCAACATAAATGACTAAACGTTTCAAATTCTCGACTGCTTTGTTATAGTCTCTAAATGGACACATATTTCTGAATGCTTGGAAGTCATAAAAATCTGAAACATCTATTCTGTACATTTTTATAAAAATAAAAAAAATATTATTTTTTTATTCTTGACTTTGTTGTTCCATTTGTTGCATTTGTTGTTCTTGAGCTATTTGTTGTTGAAGTTGTTCTTGTAATACAATACTTTCACCAGTTGCATCTTCCAATTCGAAACTTTCTGCCGTCATTGACAAATACATAGGACATAAAAGTTTTACAGGAACAAAGTTTGCGTCAACTAATGTCAACGTTATACTTGCCAAAGTGTTTGAGTTCACTAAGGTTGAAAATTCTGCATTCGAATGAACAATAGGCAAACCAGCAGAGAAAGTATTGTTTATACGCATAAGTATCTTTTGGTCATAATAGTTTCTGTCGACATTCGAATAACACTTTGAACCTAAGTTTGAAACAATATATAAGATTGGTGTGCTTAATGTCAATGGAATAGACATTCCTTGTATGACACCGTTTCCTGTTATAGGAAACTGTTGGTAGTAAAAACCAGAAATAAGTTTTGTATTATAGCTCATATCGTTTATAGTAAACTCAGTCGGACATCCAAACATAATGAAACCTGCTCTAGTTGCAGCACATGTTACACCCGTACTTAAAGTATTAAATAAGTCAACAAAACCTGTTGGTGGTATATCTGAGTAAGTATCTTCAAAGGAGTATTTTTTACCATTCACAACAATAAAGTCTTCTGGTGTCAAAAGAGCAAAACAGGCTTTAGTCGTCATTGTGTTTAAGGTTAGTTTACAATATCGTCCTTGAGGACTTTGTAAGTTTGTTGTTATAGAATTATATGACTCAGGGTTTTTAGTCGTAATAGTATAAACCATTATGTCTTCTGCCATTTACTTAGCAAATAAATTTTAATGAAATGTTGTGGTCGTCAAATATTTTTATAACGTCTGGGAAACTATATTTTAAGTTCAACGTTTCACCTCCTTTCATAACGTATATCTTGTCAATGACATTATATGAAACACCACAGCAACTAATGTCGGGTTCTATTTCTTTGATGTTTATATCGTCTGCCTCTGTCAAAGTTTCAATAGTTCTTTCAAAACTTCATGAGGTGCAATGACATATGAGTTCACTTTTACAGGGTTGTGTTCGACCAAGTTTAACATTATACTTAAAGCTTGACAAATCTTCTCCTGAGTTTGAAGTTTGTCTTTCAGTTGTTGGTAGTCGTTTCGAATATCTGCAACAGAACTTAAGTCTCTGTTAACTTCAGGATATGTTGGTTCTTTTACAGGAACAATTGTTATACCATCTTCGTCTTCGTATGGTTTCCCCACTTCAACATCTCTGTCTTTGACATTGACAATAACACTTTGACTGTTTGTTTGAGTTGGTGAATTCAACCTCACATCTGCCACCGCCATTAAACCTTTTGAAACACTTACGCTTCTATTTTTCGGAAATGACATTTTACTTAGAATAAAAAGATGGACGTATTCGGATATCTTATTGAATTGAAGCAGAACAAAGTTTATACTCACAAACAATACAAATACATTGACAGAATAGTTCTTTACACAAACAATGGAAAATGTTATAGAATAGCAGTCTTTGCTGAACCTAAATATTTTCATAAAGCAAAGAAAGTTGGTATAACTGAAATGGTGAAAGTTCTTGAAGCAGACAAAAATATAACTTCAAAACTTACAGATATTACTAAAGGAAAGTTTATAATACAATATTATGTCAAAACTGGCGTACTGTCAATATTTGACGGAGAGAAGTCAGTTCAAGAACAACTTACTGACCTGCTGCCAAAATCTGCTCGATGGAAGCTGTCGTTATGCCAATCTGAGGAGCCCCAGCAGGTTTCATCGAACGAATCTTCAAAAGAGCATCTTTCGTGAAAAGTGCTATTGGTTTTGTAAACTTCTTTGCTTTCAATTCATCTGGACCGTCTCTGTCACCAGTATATTGTATTTGAACTGTACCAACAGTTGAAATACCACCCATAAAGTCTTCTGAGTCAGCAAATGGAATGCCAAGCCAAAAGTTTGAACGGTCTCCATGTGTATATTGAGTTTTTTGACCTCCTGTATGAGTCCATACTTTCACATATGGCATAATAGAATTTTGCATTTCAGGGTTAATGGTTGTTGTGAAGTTGTTGTTAAAGTTCATAGCATCTAATGTCAAGTTGTATGACCTCATATCCTCAACTGTAGAATATTCTTCTCTTGGATAATATTTGCCATCTATGTTTATATGATATTTAATACCAGGGTTGTAGAAACAAGAATAGTCATTTATAGTTCGTCTGAACAGTACAAACATAGTATCTGCATGTTTCATTGCAGTTGTTAAAGCAATATCTGTTCTTGCACCTGCGGCTCCTGGATTTTGGTTTCCAATTTCACCTGCAAAGTCTTTGACAGATATTTGGTGTATAGGGAACATAAGTGGAACTGCAATATATTTGGCAGCTAAAGCATTTGAAATATCTGGGTCCAACATATAAACGGCAAGTCTGCTTTCTATTCTCTTGCATTCAAATTTTTCGCATGTGAACTTAACTGGGTCCCAAGCAGTTCCAGCAGCATTGAAATAATAGTTTACTTCATTGTTGAAGTTTGAGAAACCAAAGTCTAAGTCAACTTTGTCTTTGCAAAATTCGGCGAATGACGTTTGATTTGTTCCCTTTACGTCTGTAATAGTGAATGGGTCTTGTGTTGGTGCAATGACTAAGTTATTTTTGCTTGGAGTAAGTTCGATAGAAATTTTTCCTGCCCAGTTTGGCAAGTATCTTAAAAACCTGAAGATGAGGAAAGATGACAAAGGAACTCTAAGTTTCAGTTTTACTTTAGTGGCAGCAGTTCCATCTGAACCAGAAAGGTTAACATAAACTCCTGGAACGTTAGGGTCAAGTCTTCTTATTTTCTCAATAGTTGCATACTAGTCTGTTTGTTCTCTAGCTTGTGGTTGTACTGAGTTTCTCAAAGCGAACCATTCATAGTTTGCCCATGTTACTGTTTGAACTAAGTCAGAGTTAGAATATATCTTATATCCCATGAAAACTTCTGGAGCATATTGGTATCCGACATAGAAAATTCCATTGCAACCTTTCTTGTCAGACAACTTGGCAGAAGGTTTTATTTCAATGTCTTGTTCCACGTATAAGAATGAGTTGTCAATAGAAATAATATGAAACCTGTCGCAAGCAATATCTACTGTTGTTGAAGAACCTTCTCCAAACTCACCTACGTTTCCATAAGAAACAGCAGTTGTATATTCGTAAGTTCCAGGAACTATTTCTGACCTTCTAATGGCATTGTCGCATTCGTTATACCATTCGGAAACATTTCCGTTCATGGCATCCAAAACTGTTGGCGTTATATTCTGAGCGGCGTACATTTCATATGGGTAAAAATATAGAATTGTTGGATTTATATGTCATAATAGAACCCACTCGGACCAAGCTTTACTTTCTTCCTGACTGAGTTTTTAACTGAATCTTTAACTCTTCTTTTTCCTTCATTGCCACTACTTTCACTAGATGAAGTTACTTCTTCACTACTTTCACTTTGTTCTACTCTTCTCTTCTTCTTTGGTGTCGCTTTTGGTAACTTGCCCTCTGCTTCAAGTTGTAGCATCTTTGCCTCATGTTCACCTAGTATGTTGTAAATTTCCCATGTCCTTTTTGCCTTTGGGCTCTGGTCGCCCATCTCAGGTAACCTATATCCTAGAAAGATTTTGTCATAGTTTGTATTTGAGTCTTCGCGTATTGTTTGCATGACTCTTTCCTGAGTTTCCGGTTCAAGCTCTTCAAACAGAGCTTGTCCATATGGAATAAGCTCGTTTCCAAATATATGTTTTTGTAGCCATTCTGGTTTTCTTTCCATGTTACCAATAATATCTTTTGTGAATGGGAAAGCTTTTACCCAATGTTTCAGTCTTGCGTCATTTATTTCTGTAGTTGGTTTTATTTTGTCAAGGAACATGTTTTTCAATACTAACATTTCATTTGGTACTGTCCATTTGAGTTTTCTTAAATATTCATCCCTTCTCGGTTCATTGTCTGCAAAGTAAGTTTTTATGACATTTTGCAAACTTTCGTTTGCAAGGTCATGTACAATAGGTTCTCTTCCTTCTCTCTCCCTAACTTTCTTTCTAAACTCTTCACCAAATATACCATCTCTATGGTTCTGTGTAGTTCTTTGAGATAAATGTTCTAGAACGTCAGGTGTTATATTTCCCTCAGCCATGTTCATTTCATACTGGTCCAAAATATCTGCATCTTTCATATCTTTCAATGGCATTAAAGCCGCGCTGAAAATACCCGTCATATCTGGTTCACCATTCACTTCCATTGCGTCTACAACTTCTTGGAATTGAGGTTGTAAGTTTATGAACCACCTATCCGGATTAGCTTTATGACCCCATTTCATTGTAGTTCCATAGTCTGCAGAAACAAAAGTAGGTTTGTTTCCATATTGGTTAGGTTCTGAATGAACTTTAAACAATGTTTCATTTCTATATGTTTTGTTGAAATTTAACCTTTTATTTTCACCGAGTTCAGCCAAAGATTGAACGTTATATGGTCGTAAGTAAAAAGGATTATTGTATTTGCGTACATTTTCTTTCAGTACTTCCATGCTATGCTGAATATTTTCATCTGATGTTGGAGTCTTTTGTATGTCGGTGAACATTTTTCGATATTCTTCTACTATGTCAGCCGAATTTTTCTTAGACTCTTGGAAAGATTCCATATTCACCTCATACTCTTGTTGAGGGTCAAGATTTTTCGGCTGTTCCAAATCTTCATCTAGTTCTGTGAAGTTAGTTTCCAAAGGAGGGACTTGTTCGTTTCCTTCAGGCTCTTCTAGCTGTTGTTGCTGAACTATTTCTTCCATGTCTGGTTGTATCTGAACTTCTTCCTGTTGAGTTTCTTGTACCTCATCTGCTGGCATTTCATATATTCCGAGACCGTTTTTAACAAGTTCCCTATCTAAGTCATCCGGACTCATAAACCTTTCTTCTTTCGTTCCGTCTCTATTTTTTACGCGTTTCATGAAGAGAGTTGAATTATCATTTAGCCCTGACATCAAATATCTCGGAGTAAATTCATTCATGTCATTTGGATGATATGCTATTAAATCATATCCCTTTGCGAGCTTGTATTTTCCAGGTTTGAGATTATATCCGATTTTATGCTGAACCATAAAGCTAAATAGGCTCGGGTCAGTATTTCCTTCCTTGAACTTTCTAATAGCTTCTTTATATCTGTCACTAAAGTCAAGAGTATCTGTGTAACAATAATCTTCCTTAAGCATTTTTAAGAATTCTTGGTTTCCTTTTTCTCTACTTCTTTTGTGTCTTTGCTCTGTTTGTGGTTGCTGTTGTGCAGGGTTTTGAACTGTTGGTTGCTGTGCTGGTTGTGGAGGTGGTTGTTGTGCTGGTTTTGGTTGTGGTGCAGGTGCTGGATTTTGAACTGTTGGTTGCTGTGCTGGATTTTGAACTGTTGGTTGTTGTGTTGGTTGTTGTTGTGGTGCTGGATTTTGAACTGTTGGTTGTTGTGTTGGTTTTGGTGCATGCCTGTGTCTGTGTCCATGTGACGATGTAAATGTTTTAGGTAGTCCTGGTGCAGGTGCTTCTCTTGGAGGGTTTGGTGGTATATAAGTTCCACCAGCTGGCACATATGTTCCATCTGCAGCATAATGTCCTACCTGACTTTTCATTTTTAAGAAAGCATTTACTAGGTCTGTTTTGGTCTGTTGTAACTCTTTTTCTTGACTTTCCACAACAGCTGCTCTAACGGCGTCATAGGCACTTTGAACTGCCTGTCTCGTTGCTGCATCTGTTATTTTCGTCATATTTTGTGCTACTTCTCTTAACTCTTTGTCGAAACCTTCAGACTTCAGTTTCTTTCCAGATGAGAAGTCGTTCACTAGTTTCACCTTACTATGAAGAGCTTCGAAGGCATTCTTAAAGTCAGCATTCATTAAAGCTTCATTTGAACTGTCTTCATCCGCTTGTATTTTTGTCCTTATTGACCCTATAAGTTGGGCTGCTTTAGCGTTGGCTTGGGCATCTAACCAGTCATTATTAGCTTTTATAATATCTGCGCTTTTCATTGCCTTTTGCATGGCTGCGTCGTTATTTTTACTTTCTTGTGCTAAGTTTTCATACTGTACGGTTTGGTTTTGCAACTGTAAAAGTTTTTCGGCCTTTACATTTGCTTCAACTTCTTTTTTATACTCATCGCTATCCATATATGTCTTCATGGCTTTTTGTTTTATCTCTTCATCTTTCAGTACTTTATATTGAGTAGTATGGTTTTTCAAATTTATAACATCTTGTTCCATTTTTGCTACTTCTGCTGCTTTTTCTGACACTTTTTCGCATATTCCTCTGTACTTAGTTCTTTCAGTTGTTCTTCTTTCTTCTTTTTCTCTACGTTTAACTCATTTAGTTTCTTTGTGTGTCTGTCATATTCTAGTTTCTTTTCGTTTTCACTTATTTGTTTCTGTATGTCTATGTTTGACTTTTTGACATCTGCTATTTGATTTTTGAGTGAACTCAAATTCATTTGACTTTGAGGGTTATAAGCTGTTCCGTCTGCAGCTCCACCATAGCCTGCCATTTTCGCTAAAAGTGCCGCTCTTAAACCTCCACTCTGTGCACCAATAACTCGGTTTAAAAGCATAGGGTTGCTTGACATTTGTTGCAACATAGTGGGGTCATTCATCATTTGTTGTTGCAACTGTTGTTGTGGTGTCAGTTTTACTATTGGATGTTTCAATGCTCCCTTCCTCTTACGTATATTCTTACGTAGCTTACGTGGCATTTTAAGTGAAGTTAAAAAGCGGTTTTTGACAGATGTTTATATGACACTTTTTGTTCAGCACAAAAAACTACTCGGTCAAAGTGTTGTCGGTTTTGTAAAATAACCGTCCTATCTCATTCTATAATGGAGAAAAGGCTTCTCAAAGTATACTTCCTTGGAACGCCTGTAACTTTTCCTGTAGCGACGATAGACCCTTACTTTTCCGGACAAAGTTATACTATTTTGAGTGCTCTACAAAAAAGTCAACGGCTGGCTCGTCCTCAGAAATTTTTTATGGGCTAGAGGGCGCAACGCGCCTGGAAGCCTTCCGAATAAAAACTTCATTTATACTAAACATCTTCGGGGCTAGAGGGCGCAACGCGCCTGGAAGCCTTCCGAATAAAAACTTCATTTATACTAAACATCTTCGGGGCTAGAGGGCGCAACGCGCCTGGAAGCCCTCCGAATAAAAACTTCATTTATACTAAACATCTTCGGGGTTAGAGGGCGCAACGCGCCTGGAAGCCTTCCGAATAAAAACTTCATTTATACTAAACATCTTCGGGGCTAGAGGGCGCAACGCGCCTGGAAGCCCTCCGAATAAAAACTTCATTTATACTAAACATCTTCGGGGCTAGAGGGCGCAACGCGCCTGGAAGCCCTCCGAATAAAAACTTCATTTATACTAAACATCTTCGGGGCTAGAGGGCGCAACGCGCCTGGAAGCCCTCCGAATAAAAACTTCATTTATACTAAACATCTTCGGGGCTAGAGGGCGCAACGCGCCTGGAAGCCCCACTACCTTTTTTTTTGTTACAATATGTTTTGTTGTGGGCAAACCCAAATTTTAGCTAAAAGTGACAGGAAAAAAACGTTTAGTATTAAAAAAAAGACCGATGAGAGCTTCGTTCGAAATATAGAGGGAACTGAGAATGCGCAACCATTCTCAGGGAATATTGGATGCTATTCCCGTTCCCTCTGTATGGAAAATTGAGGTTTTCAAAGGGAGTTAAAATAATATCAAATTTATACTAATTTACTTCAAAATACAAAAGTATTTGACAGCTAAAATTAGTTACTTTAGCAAGCCTATCAATACCCTTTTACGATTATTGTTACTTTTTCGAAATAAAAGTAAAAACAAATTTATACTAATTTACTTCAAAATACAAAAGTATTTGACAGCTAAAATTAGTTACTTTAGCAAGCCTATCAATACCCTTTTACGATTATTGCTACTTTTTCGAAATAAAATAAATTTATTATCAAAAACCTTTTTTTTCTTAGTAAAAATAAACGAAATTTTTTACCTTATGAACTTTTGATGGAAATATGCAAATTTAAAATAATAAAGAAAGCCGCGAGCGAAGCGATCGGCTTAGTTCGAAGATTTTGATTCAAATCTTTGCTGATCTGTAATTCGCGGAAGCCGCGAGCGAATCGAGCGGCTTAGGTCTAAGATTTTGATTCAAATCTTTGCTGATCTGTAATTCGCGGAAGCCGCGAGCGAATCGAGCGGCTTAGGTCTAAGATTTTGATTCAAATCTTTGCTTATATAAGGGTTTCGTTTTGCGAAAAAAAACGTACAATACGCAATTTCGCTAAAAAACATTTAGCTAGCAATTTCGACCTTTGACTCCACTCAAGACGTTACTTTTTTAATTTTGCGGTATCATATTTTTGGAAAATCTTTATGAATATTATATAAAAAGTCTCTTTAATATCTATATTTCATATTTTTATCGATTTTTAAAGTTTTTGCGAAAAGTATTCAATTATTTTTGCTATTTGGTCGGGTAAATGTCAGATTTGCGACATTTTCTGATATGATATTCAGATTCTACGTTGATAATAATGCTTATAGAACCCTCTTGCTATTGTGTCAAAATTGCGAAACCGATAGCAAAAATATCTCGCAATATCAAAATTGAGATATTGAGTGAATTATGCATTATAGAGATTAAAAATCTGATTTGTGAAAACATCTCATCAGTTTCTAGCTAATTCAAAAATCTTTACTATCTTATTCGATTAAAATGAAAAGGGAATAGTTTCATTATGCTTTAAATGACAGCCTTATAATATAATCATAGTTTTCGCTCAATATGCAGCATTTTTTTTCGAAATCTATGGTCAATATCCTAAATACTGATTGCTTTGCATTCATATCTCTTACATTTTCTATACCCACAT